CAAGCATTAATATTTATATCTGTCAAACACAACTTTACCCGTTACAATCTAAGGCACGTTTACTCTTCATCTTCCGTGTTCCCGCTATATTCCGGGGCATCTTCAACTAGTCTACGAGTATAGAAAGACAGTTTCTGTCCATCCGTTTGTATATTTATCTCAGAAAGAACCCAACTTACTTTAACTAAATTTAGTAGTGGGGGTGGGGAGTCTCTACATCAAGTTGTGTGGCAAATTTAATTTCATAGTTTCTTTCCACATACGAAAATTTAAAGGATTTTATGGATTTTCTCAGAAAGGGCTGATTGTAAGGAACTGTAAATAAAGTAAGAATAGATCTGGTTAAAATATTAAACTCTTATTTTAAATGGTTTTAAAGTTGTTACTATTTGATAAAATACAAAGAAAAATCATTTCTGGCTCTATAAAGTGTGACATTTTTCAATTAGTTCACTCCTTGAGAAGAACTGATTATTAAGAATTCACATATTCCGACATTAATTGGTCATTTTAAGGTGCTTCTTTTAAGTGCTGAAAATAATACATAGTTCAGCTACAGCCTTCTACCGGTAACTGCACCTCCATAGTGCATTCTACTAAATTGGGTAAGCTGCTTAAGACACAGTCCATTACGTGAAGATAGCAACAGAAAATGTGCATACAAATTAGCTGTCATATCTATTGAGTTTTGAACACTTATAGAGAACCGCCCGAAGATGACAAATTAAGATCGAAACATGTAGTGAATTTTTAATAAACTTTGAAACTATATTCAAGAACCGTTGTGTAGACGGATTGTCAACTGAACGTTCAACACACAACAGAACACATCATCCCTCGAAGCACAGATAATTCTCATCTATTTATCCCCCCTCCATTAGAGATCATAACAATTGCCAACAGTCACAAAATTACAATTAAGTTGGTAAACAGCATATCTACAGCCAGCATTTGGAGAGGTGTCAATGCCATCTGTGATCTTACGACACTGTAATTATATCAGCCAGTCTTTCCCATTCAGATAGCAACACGGAGACATTGTAGACACTGGCAAGAGGTACTAAGTAGGACGGTGCTTGGTAAATACGATTAACCCAACGTATCGTGACGAGAAAAGCGCTCGAGACAGCTGCCGCCTTAGGTAGGAGACTAGAATTCTCTTAAAACTTTTATACAAAGAAATGAGTTTGGAAGTGAGCCTTCAACTAAATTATGACAATACGTACGAATGTTATAACACGAGCAAACTGGAGACTTGGCTCATTCTGGCGATCCATTCCCATTTTCTAAAAAAAAAGTAACTATCAAGTTTATACAACATTAATTTTGGCTCCTCAATTTCCGTGTCCCTAGAAATAACTCACTGGACACAGACTATAATATAAATTATTTCTGTGAACACATAACTGACTCGTAAATTAACTTTCAGCTGTGTCATGGAATCAGAAAATATCACTACAGCGCAAAGCAAATACAATGCACAATTTCTGTCACAGAAGTCAATAAATAATCGTTTCTTTACGCCTCGGTTTCTCAATCAATCTTAAAACAGACACAATCAGATCATAACTCCATATTCAACTCCTATGGAGCCGTACATGCTGCCTTCTGGGTTGTTGCGCCGTGTAGTCTGGTAGAAATTTGCCGATGTTTCAGAGGTCTTTACTGCCTACATCATCAGGGCGATTAGCAGATAGTTTCACTCCCCCCCCTCCCACGACAACCACGCGATACGAGGATGTAGCAAATCTGGGCGTTAAGCAAAGATAAAAATCCTATTCTGCCACGAATCGAAACACAGACATCCATCGCGTAGACCAGATTCGAATGACACTGAATATTGCCTCGGGTCATAGTTCGCCAGTATCAGATGTTTACGTTCATCATTTATCATGTCCACTTGTTTGAATAGATCTGCCCTCAACAGCAACGCACTTCAAACACCTTCAGTAGCAGCCTCAAGAAATATTCCCGTTTTCATGAATAAAGTTACGGAAAGTCAGATAACGAAAAATTCGGAGAACAGGCAACATCGGATCGGGAAAACAACTTCTTCGTGTGTGCTCTAAACAAATAGACGTATAATAGCTTTATAACCTCCCCAACCACAAAACCATATGCCCCCATTAATGTGGCCGTTTACCGGGAGCACAAATACAGACTGGCAGGTTATTTTCCGCGCTACATATCACAACGTCTTCCCACCTTCCTCATTCAAATGCAATGTCTCTGGCAAGAATGGTCTGTCCACTCGCATATGAATGCAAAAATGGATCACAGTTTTTGCAGGGAACAATTTTGTAGTTACGTACTTGGTATAGCCATTGAACGGTGCTTTTTAACATCTTAATAGAACCGAACTTCGTTGCTGGGTAGTTCGTACGCCTTTCCTATCCCAATTTCTCAACTGAGAGTCTACTTGTGTTCCTTAGACCCTCTAGAGAAATTCCGGGGTAATATTTAAATTAGGCGACATCAGACACGAGCTATACTGAAGTTACAGTTAACCTAATCTGTTATCATTTCGATTCTTGCCGTCTACACTAATAATATCACTGTGAACTTTTTAAAACGAAGTAGAAATAATCGTTCTTAGCGTTCTAAACAAGTTCTCATGTAACAAATTTGTTCATAAACGCGAATAAATTGGTTTCATGACACAAAAGTAAAAATTAAATAAAATTTATCTAAAAATAGAAAGCGTTCAGTTGAAGTCCTACCTCTGGTAGGGCCTCAGTAGTGGATGATGAAACAGCCATTACACCTGCAATGAAAATAAACAGTTTATATGAGGAACAACTTTATATTAACCCTCTGGAGCCCGAATTTCATCTGTATAATTAAGTTCTTACTTCGGAGAAACGTATCTAATTGAGATTTCGGATTCGTGTGGAGGCTAATATGAATATGACTGTCTTCTGGGTTGTTGCGCCGAGTAGTCTGACATTTGCTTTACACAGATCAGCTGCTTAAAGTATAGGGAAGTAATCGCTGTTGTTAAGTCATATGAAAACCAACTACATTCTCTATATTATGCTCCAAAATAAAACGCACTTCAATTAGGTAAGCACTGTACTTAAAGAAACTAAAATTATCTGGATGTATTTAGGAATACATGCGACTACTTGGTGACCGATATTCTTGTAGACTTGTGTATTATTCAAAGCCCATTATACTCCCAAATTTCTTCAGCTTAATGTTATTGCCCATAAATTTATTATTCATGCATTTTCGATGGCGGATACTACCGAAATGTAGGCCGTACACAACTGTTACATTTTTAATAACAGTTTCCCGCAGACAGATCTCCATTCATCATCATCATCATCATCATGTAGTTCTTCCTATTTACACTACTTCAGATACCGTAAACCAGCTTGTTCAAACTTGTGACACGCGAGCCATATGTGACCAGAAACCACGTGTAACAAAGGAGCGAAATTATTTGTTACGTGCTACTGGAGTTACAAGCTCACTTGTTTTCTTTACTCCAACTAATTTGAAGAAAAAAATGTTATTATTATCTCGTCTGTTGTTTTATAAGCAAGTGTCATAAATGCTACTCAACTTAAAACCCTGGCTTAAAGGTCTTTAGATTTAAAAAGTGTTGGGTAGAAGGCATTGCAGGAGAAAATTTAAAATAACATGTAACTCTACAGTAAAATTTATATTTGAGCATACACTATGGTAATTTGTAATTTCTGAATAAGTAAAAGATAACGAAAATTCGCAATGGGTTTTAAAAATTTTTACCACGAGGTGTTTTCTGGCCCTGGAATGTAATGGGAAGATTATTCTTGGCCCGAGGGAAGAACATTTGGAAGACTCTGTCGTAACAAATCTGGTGTAAAGTAGATGCTACTACTGCAAATTTGTTTCGTGAGCTTCTAAGTTCAACCAGTTCACGCTTTCTCTGCACTCAGTTGTTGATAAAATCAGACCAGTTCTTCAGTGCAGTTACGAAGTATCCCTTGTCACCACCAGAGTAAATGCGAGTACATTCAATAAGCAGCCTCGGACTATCGACAAGGGGTGATCCTCCACTGTATGTTTTGGGAGGGTGGAAGGTAACAGTCCCTCATCGCAAAATTTTAGCTTGTACAGAAATCTTAACTCAGGGCCTTCAACTCTGTCACGCGCTTTGAAAGAACTAACAAAAAGCAAAACAGATAAGACTTGGAACTCGGAAACGCTGCAGTTGCATTAGGTTAATTATAATAACTTTCCAACAAACATGACATTTTACACCCAACTAGCATTAAATCCCAATCTTGTATCCTTTCGAAAGTGTATGTTTTCTCAGTTGTAGTGCCGTGTATCTGATATAAGTTTGCCGACGTCCCAGAGGTACTCTCTGCATCCATCAACAGGACGATAATTCACGTCGGTAAACGACTACCAGACTACAAGACACAACAACCTAGAAGACAGCCATCTTCATACTCGTCGCTGTGGAAACAAAAGTATTAGAGGGACAGACGCATGTGTATATAAATAGAATATTCGTAAGCCTACTTTTCCTTATAAAACAAGGACAATTAATTGACAGACGTCCTTATTACAGCAAACAATTTCCATAGAACCATCTTAGTATGCTTAATACAGTGGCAAGATATATTCACAAAAATTACAAGGCAACTGTATAAACAATGTTCAGTGGTTATATAATGAAACACAGTTGTTCTACAGAACACGGAAAAAGATGATTTATTCCTATGCATTAATGCGTTTCTTAATTTAATAAGAGTTCCATCTACTTTTCTATTATTAACAAATACAGAACCAAAAAAAATTTCATATACATCGCAATATAAACTGGTAATCACTTCTGCGGACTGAAGCAGACGTCGATACAACAAAAGTTGTGACCATTACAAATGACAAGAATCGTGTAATTTGACAAACACAAATTCCCCTAACGAGTTCGGAGTTTGAAGAAAAGCATTAACAACGCTCGCTGTTGGCGTGGTGTATTTTAGGGCCTCAAAAGATTGTGTATAAATAGACTAGCAAGTGCTAACTTTATCGTCGTGATTTTTCGAAATATTTAATAAGGTAGGAGATTAGAGCTCTTTGTATGGAGGAAGAGGCCAACGTAATGTCCATATATTTGAAGGTAAATATAAAGTCGTTGACAAGCGAACATCCATGTCCCGAGGGAAATTCAATCCTGCTATCCTAGATACTGTGGGTATTAATTTGCGCACTGAGACGTAACCAGTATCTATGTAATTACCTATGTGAAATTAATACCGTTGGCCCTAAACTTCATTGTCTGCAGCGAACCGTTCAGGAATACGAAACTACGATAGATGCGTCGGAACTACAATTTTGCCAGGATATTTTCATTTTGCACTCAGTAAAGCGTAACGAAGCCAAGACAAAAATATTTTAACAGCATTTGTGCACGAGCATATGTGACACTTTACACTTACAACATTTTACTAAATAAAATATTTCTCTCAGTTCTGGTAACCTTATTTTAAATTTGTAGTAAGAACAAAAGTTGCATATTTTTCATACAACACTCCAAAATACTATCTTCAATGACCCTAGTGTTGTTCTCGTCAGACTGACTGTAGTAAGCACAGTACTGAGAATGTTTAATTAAGGTATTTTAAGCTTTTCACAGAAATTAACTCTCGTGATAGAATACATTCGGAACGAGGTATTTAATCCATGCACCAGTTGTAATGATTATAATCTTTAAATTTAATCGCTGTACTGTAAACTGGTTAATCCTTTAAAGCGAAAAATACTTCTAGACAATTTAATAAATTTGTTGCTGCAAAGTAAAGTAGTTCTTGCCTAAAGGGAAAACTTGTCTCTATTACAAGTTTCAATTGGTTTTATGTCGTTTGGAGAACCATAGGAAACATATGAATACACTCGGCCAAAACACAGAATTGTTGAGTGTTAAAGCAGGTGGTATATATAGTAACCACTGTAGGTTGAAGGGTAATATAATGTCGGTTCACTGCCATGTAACTCGTGTATAAGAGATGACCTGAACTCCAGAATGGTCTGTTACTCAGTATCTCTCTCTCCAAGCGTATGTTTGAGTGATTTCCGGTCCTTTGACTTCAATGCAAATCGACTCATTCAGATGCTAATGATGGCTTATCTCGAATCTGCTACTAGCAGCAGCGAACATTCTGACATTTCGAACAAGAGCGTGAATTCCGTCTTACATTTTTACATTTCCATTGACATACTAACCTAACCTAAGAACTGATTCTTACTTTAAACACTAAAGAAAGACTCTTTAAATCATTCTTAGAACAAAATTTGTTACATTAGATAAATGCAAAAGCGAAATAACATTAACACTGTAGATGATGATGATGATGATGATGATGATAATGGCGATATTAACTGCATGGGTTGTGACAGGTTCTTCTATTTAACGACG